GACATCGATCGATCGTTTCACTATGCTGGCCATTATACCCTCCGACGGCATGTGGCTTGAACCCTTGTAATTATTCTATGCCGATTTCGCTAATCAATCGATTGGCGAAATTCTCGCTTATAAAGATGTTTCCGTTCGCTCCCGAGTCAATAAGTGCATCACTGGTAGATAATGATTTGCCATTACTTGTTATAGTACAAGAGGTGAGCAATGCCTCTCCTCCCAAATAACTACTCAAGAAATCTCTTTCCACCTTTGTCACTCCTGTCGCGGACTTGGTTGGACAGTCGTGTATTAACTCAATCCCTGGAAGGGAGTCTACGATTCCCAGGGTAGTTAGTTTTTTGCCTCATCCGCTTCGGCCCTGCGAGCGAACTGCTCGACTAACTTATTAATGCGGTTCGAATTGTTACGCTTGTTAGGGCAATCCCGGAAACGATGACCAGTCTGCTTGCAGACGAAACACTTGTTTTCCTCCAGCAGCTTGCGCGCCTCCTCCTTCGACATGTTAGGGGGGCGTTGAGATCCCGAGCCCTTGGCTGCGGATGAAGACGAAGATGACGAACCCCTAGCCTTGCTAGAAGTATTCTTATTATCCTTGCCTTTATCTTTGTCCTTACCCTTGTTATCCTTGTGCTTGGACTTCCACAGGCGCTGACTGTTCTCCACACACTTCTTGGCCATACGCACAAAAGCCGTAAAGTCGACAGTATCCTCACCGTATCCGAAGAGGAGGGCGTTCTGGATGTCGGTCGGGAGCTTCCAGTTGAACTCCTGCTTCCAGGTTTCTGCTGGGCGGTTACACTCGCCGGCTAGTCGTACGAAGGCGTTCCTAAATTCCTGGAAGTCCTCGTTCATCTTAAACTTCAACTCATTGAACTCGAGGATAGCCTTCTCCTTGCGGTTGTGGTCATAATACTCGTTCTTGAGGTGGTCCAACAGTTGCTGGGAGTTCTTGAGGCAGTGGGGGCCATCTCCCAAGTATGGCTCCAAGTCCTGGGCGGCCTTGCCGGCTGTACGGTTCTCGATGTACATCTTCTTGGACTCGTCGTCTGTGAAATGGTCGGCGTTCAGCTTCAACTTGTTCTGGATACGACGGTACCAAACGTCGAAAGAGACAGTGTCTTTGTCTTTCTCGTTGTGGAAATACGGCGGGTCCTTCTCCTTAGCCGACAGTCGACCGACGCTGTAGGAGGTTGAGGCCGTGGTGGCCGGAGTGTCCTCGCGGTCGGAGTCCTCCACGTCTTCGCGAGTACGACGCGGCTGGTCGCGGTGGAGTTGTTCCAGGTTCTGCGGGGTCGCATCGATAGTGACCTTCTTCTTTTGCTTACGCAAGTCAAGATTCTCCTTGGTGAGTCGAGCAATGACGGCGTGGAGGTCGGTAATCTCGCTCTCCTTGAGGGCCACCTCCGTACCCAACTCCTCCGCTTGAACTTTGACGGCGGCGGTACGATCCAAGGACATTGCCAACTCCTTCTGGGTTGTGGCCAGGTCACCCTTGACCTGATTCATTTCGGCCAACAACTTGGGGCAGTTATGGCAACCCTCCGGCGGAGTGGGCGACCAACCACGGCGACGATCCGGCGATGAGTTCTGGCTGTCGGGCGGACCTCGGTGGTCAGAGCGGGAGGAGTCGCGGTCATTGGGAGTCTCCCGGGCGTCTTCATAATCCTCATGGACCTCCTGCTCCTCCAGATGCTCATTCTCGGTACGAGCACGGCTGCCTATGGCGGCGTTGAGCCGTTGGAGGCCCATCTGGACTTCCTCGGTCAAGTCCTGAACCTTCTCGCGCAGCGCGGCGTTCTCATGACGCAACTGAGCGACCTCTGCGTTGGTGGCCGGCGTCTCGCCACTATTGCGGGCGTTGTCCAACGTGTTCTCCAAGACAGTGATCTTCTTTTGGAGCTCGGAGTTGTCGTCCTCCGCGGCCTTCCAATAGTTGAGGAAGTTCATGGCATATTCGTACATTTTACCGAGGTTGGTGTTCAAGTTGATAGCGATGACTTGATAACCACGCTGTTGAGCCAGGGCCGCCTCCGCAAGGATGGCACGCAGCTTGATCTCCTGGAAGATCGCGTCGAGGCCGGCGGGGTCTTCACAGATATTCTTGAAGGTAGGTGAATCTACCAACAATGGTCCTAAACGGGCCTCATCCCGGGCGAGGTGATGAGCCCAATACTCCTTGCCAGCCGCAGTGAGGGGTCTAAAGGCAAAGGAGGGTCCGTCTCCCTTCTTGGAGTAGTACTTGGCGATCGCGCTAATCTTCGCATACAGGAATGCGTACAAATCTTCTTTCTTGAAGGTATAACGCACATCGGTCATCTTTGCTGTGACTTCCTGGTTGAAAAACGTAATAGCCTCGTCAATGTTGTCAGGCGCGTCCTCGTCATCGAGGTTGGACATGTCGAGGGTCCGAGACTGGGCGTCCCATTTGTCCTTGATAGTAACAACATTAATCGAGCGGCGACGAAAGGCATCATCCTGCTCCACCACCGACTCGGGGGTGATGGGTACGTCGTCGATGTCGAAGATAACTTGCTCAGCGGCAACCTTATCTTTCTGGGCCTTGATGGCCTGTTTCTGAGCCTCGCTTGCTTGAGTACTCACGTCGGCAGTCACTTTCGACTGCGTGGACTGCTGTCCCTGCTTCTTGGGCGGGGCCTGGCCTGCCTTTTCCTCTGGGGTGTGCGCCATCGCGGCGCTGCGACACAACTGCTTGAAAGTGATGGGATGTTTGATTTCCTCCCTGGAAGTGTATAGATTGATCTTGTGATTGTCACGAGCGACGTGGTCACGAGAGGCAAGCTAACACGTTGATACCAGGTCTATTGTAGAATCACAAGATGAAGAAGAAAAGAGGGAAACGTGCAAAGGTGCACGCGGGGTCTGGGGTTTTGACCCAGAGCCTGTGCGCCGGCCTAGAGCCTATGCGCCGGCCCGGCAACGGGTCGGTCACATATCTGGCTACACGGCTGCACCCCATGCCAAGGCCTGTCCGCCAGTGCCGTAACAGTATTTATCATAATACGCTTAAACTTCTTAATACCGATTAGAGTTTGTAACCTTTGAAATAATAGTATATCGACTATTTATAGAATTAGAATAATAAAAGGATTAACTAAACTATAAAAGGGGGTAAAGGTAGAAGGTATACTACTATAGGAGGATAGGGTAGTAAGGATTTTACTAACGGGCAGTTCGGTTAATTAAAATTTAAATAATATAATAAAATAATAGTATTAACTAATATAGTAGAGGTATAACTTTATAACAGTCTCGTACTTAATATTATTATACTTATTAGAAAAATCCTTTTCAAAAATAGTCTTATTATAAATAATAAACTGGGCGCAACGGTTGTTATAAATAGTAGCAGTATAATTAATGTTATATAAAACAATTAACTATTTTATCCCTACAACCGTATTATTATTAATAATATCTTATATATAACTTTACTACAACTATTTAATCTCACTAAACAAGCTCGTCCCAAACTACTAATTATAAAACTCGCCGTTATTTTATTTAACCTTCACCTCTCTAAATATACTATAGTCTTCAATAGGAGGTAATTTATTATAGTTAGTAATAATATACAAACCAATTATATTAA